GGAAAAGCAGGGGTAGGAAAAGTTACATCAACAGGAACAACTGTCAGAGCAAGAGGGTAGGAGAGCAACATCATACCAGTCAGGATAGAATTGTATATTCTGTTGAGGATAATCATCATAGTTTAACTTTACAATTGGGGTTAGGTGACCATTGAGACCATGACGTACTGGCTTATTTTTATTCTACTTCGATTCAGTCTCGTGATCATGCAGCTGCTGCACCTCAGGGAGCATTCAACAACAGCTGGGAATTGTGGGAGCTTTGATGTCACCCATAGGCTTCCATAGCCTAACTGTTGTCAGAACGCCTTTCTACCCCCTACAGCAGCCACTTACTGACACAGGAGAGCAAGAACTATGTGCTGACGTGACTGGACCGGAGCGGATTACCCACTTGCCCTTCAGAGGATTTTTGGCGATACGGTGCTGCATTGCTTTGACAATTGAGCGGTAATGCAACGCTGTACATTAATTCAATTTGTCAAATTTTTTTCCCACAAATAGAGCTTTCAGTGATATTTGATCTCTTCTGCGTTTCTTACTTTTCGCTCTATAAACAAAAAAAGACTGACAATTTTGAAATCTCCCCCCCCTAATATTTTTGACTTTTTGCTATAAAACATGCCTCTTGAGGGTTAGGGAATGATGTGAGTGTGCAATATGTGTGTAAATTTGTATTCTGCTATGTGCCTTTGCTATTCAAAAGAAAAAAAAAAATCCTTCTTGTATTAATTGGTTTACGTGAAGGTTATAGCGTCTAAAAATGGCAGTGTGTGTATATATACTTTTTTTTTTTTTTTACTAGCAATGGCGGCGATCAGCGACTTATAGCGGGACTGTGGCAAGCAATCTGACACTGGGTGGGAAATAACTGCCACTGACATCCCCAATGACACTAATATAGAGATCCGTGTTAATGAAAAGCACTGACACTGTACTAATGAATTTCGGCAGGAAGGGGTTAACATCTGGGGTGATAAAAGGATTAACTGTGTTGCATGCTGTTTTACTTGGGAGACATGTTGCATCACAGAAACCTGACATTTTAACAGGGGTGTGTGGCCTTTTTACATCCACTGTATATCGATGCAGCACTGTGCGTAGCTGAAGTTCTTCTCCCTTCTTTTTCTTCTCACAGGAAGATTAGGCAGGAACGAGACCCTGTAACACTGTAATTTGTGGTTTAGCTGGGTATACACGTATAGAAAATCAGCTGGTTAAGCAGGAACCTGATGAATTTCTATTTATGTGTACTGCTGTCTGTTCAAGTCCCCCCTTTCAGAAGACAAAATAATCCCTGAAGCAGCATCGCTTGTGTTGATGTGGGGGCTTGTTCATTTTTGTTTGTTTCTCTTCAACCCGCTGTGTATACTTTGTATGTATTGGTTTTTAAGCTTATACATACGTTTAAAATTATAGGCTTCACCTTGAGCCATTTTGCCTGGTCAGAGAACCGGTTATGTTTGTACTTCTGAAAGAACAAAAATGTACAGACTTGTGAAATTGTATATTTTCCCCTTGTGTTCATTTAACATCCTCAAAGGACTGACTCTTTGTTGAAAGAGATGAATCTCATGTTGTCTGACAGCGGCTGTTCTCCCAGCTGCCTGACCTCTTTCTGATAACTTGCAGGGTCTCCTGACTCTCTCTGCACTCGCTGTCGTATTTTGAAAAGAACGTGGCTGTTCCAAGCTCTGTCCACTCAGCCACATCAATGATTCAGTTTCCTGTGAATTAATGAACTACAAGCACTGTCAGCCACCGCGGCTGACGGGTTGTTCTGAATGAACTACAAGGGCGCCGATGAGCGCTTTCATAGTTCATTCACAAGCCCTGCAGCTTTCAGACAGCCTGTGTGGAGATACGGGCAGATTCTTGTCTGCAGAAAACTGACCTTGCACAACTGATCCACTGATGAAGTGCAAAGCTTTCCAGTCTCCTGCAGGAAAAAATACATGAACATTGTTTTTGCTTTTTTTTTTTTTATTTTTTTTTTTTTGATAGGTGAACTTAATATAAATATATCTATAGATATATATAGATAGAGAGAGATAGATATAGATATATTTATATACACTTACACTTCTATTGTAATGTGCAGGAGGCAGATGTAGAAAAGCAAGTAATGACACTATCTGAAAGAGCCAAATCTTAGCTAGTCAAAATGGCCTGGAATTCAGCCATAGCAAGAAAGATGGATTTGGCCTAAGGTTGGTGCTTCCGGAAGAATTCTAGGGCTATCCTGAGACTAATTTTAAGCGATTCAGACTAAAAGGGTGTTTTTGGTAAGATCACACAATTATCATTTGACTGCAAATTTTTTTTCTTGTATACACCTAATCATGACTGGTTCTCTGTAGGTTCCTTCAAAATTTACAAATATGTTTCTTTCAGAAACCAATAAAAACACAAAGCCGTGTAAACCAGAGGAGAGTGATGAGGATAAAGAAGAAACAGCCTCCTCAAATGAAGAAGAAATAACATCACTGAAGAATGAAGGCAGTTCTGCAGAGGATGATGGCGATACATTAAATGATGATGTTGAACCAGAAGAGGAGAAGTCTCCCAAGGCCAAAATCAAAGAATACAAACTGTGAGTGCAAAGCAGTTATTGTATAGTGATATATATATATATATATATATATATATATATATATATATATATATATTTTTTTTGTGAGCATAGCTTTTTGCTTCATTTAAAAAAAAAAAAAAGAAAAAATACAACAGCTTCAGGCAACCACTTCAGTACTGGGCACTTTTACCCCCTTCCTGCCCAGGCCAATTTTCGGCTTTTAGCACTCACATTTTGAATGACAGTTGTGCTGTCCTGCAACACTGCACCCATATGAATTTTTTTTTCCCCCACATAAATAGAGCTTTCCTTCGGTGATATTTAATCACCGCTGGGTTTTACATTTTTTTCTAAGTAAACAAAATTTATGAAGAAATATAACCCAACTCCGTGTATATTATTTAGTCTGTAGGAAAGAGTCCACAAACAATGGTATATATCTGAAAATCACCCCCTGTACTGCCCTAAAACATCAGGACAGTAAAAATATCCCCCCAAATGTTGCCCATTTGGAAAGTAGACAGGCCATGGTACTTAGTAAAAGGCATGGTGAGTTTTTTTTGAAGTTGTAATTTTTTTTCGTTACTATTTTTTGGGAAAATGAAGAAATCTAAAGTTTGTGTGGTGTTTGTTGTCTGTTTTGTTTTTTCTTTTTTTTTTTTTTTCCTGCCACCATTGCAGTACAGTGGCATCATATAACTGGTGTGTTTGTTGATCAGAGACATTGACTGGTAACTGTACGAAGGAAAAAAAACATTTTTTTTTTTTTCTTTCTCTTTCATTACATTTTTTCTTTTCTTTTTTTAGTTGTTGTTGTTTACACACTATGACTACATATAACTGTGTGAGTTTTACAGTCATAAGCAACCATTTTTTTTTCTGGATTAAAACTATCCATTCAGTGTTTACTGTTGTGATTAGCTGTGAGTGGCCACAGCTAATCACATGGTGCAGATGGGCTGTGATTGACCCTGTCTGTACCATATGATCATTGTGACCAATCGGAGCTCATCACAATAGTACACAATGAAAGGCATGAATCAAAGGCTTTCTTTGTGTATAATTGTCATATGATCTGCTTTGATGAGCCACAGCAATCACATGGTACCGGCAAAAGGCTGATACACTAATCTGTCATCGGCTGTGTCTGGACGTTCTCATATGATGTCTTCCCAGAATAAGAGGGCTCCCACCGGTCTGCCATTTTACAATAGGCCGGGCAGAGAGGTGTGAAATACTGAACTGCACCTGCATTGGAACAGAACATATGGGTTTTCATATATATGACATGTTTGGTATGTATCATATGGCCATTTCCATATACTAATATATTATGTATATGTACATAATATCTTCTTAGTATTCTATTCGGGGGGTGGAGCTTTAGACTCCTTGTCACATTTTACAGGCTTCTAGTTTCTTTCTTTTGAAAGTATACAGAACTCATTGGGGTTGATTTACTAAAACTGGAGAGCTCAAACTCTGGCTCCGCTGTGCAATGGTAGCCAATCTGCTTCTTCTATTATGCTTTGGTGAAAAAAAAAAATTGGAAGCTGATTGGTTTCTATGCACCACATTTTACATTCTCCAGTTTTAGTAAATCAACCCCATTGAATCAGAGCAATGACTCCTCTTTTATGAGATGACTATGGATGTTTCTGTTAGAGAGTTTGCCTCAGAGTAATATTAAGGGCTTTGTTCATTTAGCTACATAGAGTGCTTTCTAAAATTTCTGTCTTCAAAAGAACTAAATAAAATAATGTAACACTATCTTAGGTTCTCTAAGTATGTAAACAACTATGTGAATCAAAGATCAGCAGCAGCACAGGTTTGTAGCTGTGCTTCAATATATTCCCTGTGTGTTACTTGAATATAATCCAAATATACACACTTGCCAAATGCCGTGCACTGAGCACTGTGATCCTCTGTGTACATGGGATCTTGCTGCTGCGCATTTTAGGGGGAGGACGTCCTTGGACTTTCCCCCAGAATTAGAAAGAACCCACCTGGCCATATTACAATACGCTGGGTGGGGAGTGGTTAACCTGTGCGGCTTAAGTTACTTTTAGTGGACATCTAGAATTTTTTTTTTCATAGGCTTACCATTACTCTTTGAAATATGTTTGTTTTTTTTTTTTTTTTTTTTTTTTTCCCCCAATAAGTTCTATTAAGATCTGTTTGTAATTCATATTTTAACTATTAGCTCTTTAAAAAAAACTTGCGCCAAAAACAAGAGAAATGATGACTGTGAGGAGGAGGAGAAGGAGGAGAATGATGATAAAGTGGAAGATAACAAATCTGCTGACTCTGAGCAGGAGAGTGACATTGAAGATGATCTGTCAGGGGACTCCGATTCTGAGAGTAAGAAAAAAGGTAATTTTTAAAGTAGTGCTCTTATACTTGATATGTAAGCCCACATCACTGAATGGCACCAAATGTAACATCCTGTTTATTTACAGATAAAAATGAAAAGAAGAAAAGGCAATTGCCATGTGATGTTGGTGAAGGAAAGACATTGTTTATCAGGTGAGCTTCTCTGACAGCTAATACTGAAGTCTGTTGTCCAGCACGGAAGGGAGTCATTTCACAACTCCTAAAAATGGTGCTTGTTTAGGGGCAGAACATCTCTCTACAGCATTGTGGTGCTATCTTTACCCCATAACTGCATGATTTCTGGTAGTCACAGCCTCCTATTCTGCGTAGGAGTTTAACATCTCTCACCTGTACACCACCAATTGACTGGAGCAATTTTTACATTTTTGCCACGGACCAGTTTATTTAGCAATAACTTGGTCATCGAAATCACAGAATATTACATATATCATGTTTTTAAGGACAAAAAAGACTTTCTTTTCATGATTGTTGTGCATTCCTTAGACTAAAACCTAACAAAACTAAAAGTAACAGAAATGCACTTTTTTTTTTCTTTTCTGGCCAGTGTTAGTGTAAAAAGTGTTACAGTAGATAAAACATAACATTTTATTTTTACGGTAAAATTATGATTTTGGCGCAAAACATTGCAAAGTTATTTACAAATAAAGGTTTTTTTCAGTTTTCACTTTGTCATTGTGACACATACAAAAGAAAAATGTTTGATTTATTGGTTAAGAAAATAGAAATAAAAATCAGCAGGAAATAATAGGGGATGGTGAGTTAATTAAGGCTGATTAGGGTAAATTAAAGGTTAATAAGGGGTTAAATAGAGATGGAGAAAATTTTTTATTTAAGGTGTAAATCCAGCCAAATGCTACCAAAGGCTAAGCTTACTCCCACCCCCCCCATTCTAAGACTATTTTATCGACCCTGTAATAGGAAAGATGCTAATACTTACTGTTGGGCAGCAGTTGTCAGCTGTCCTTCCTCTACACTGAAGCTAGAGTTGGGAGCCCTATCATGTGACCAGACCGGAGCGTCTTCAGAGTAGCTAAGTATAAGCATCTTTTCTTTCACAGGGTAGATAGAATAGTCTTAGAATGGGGGTGGGAATAGGGTTAGCCTTAGAATTTGACTGGAATTACACTAAAGGCTTGTTTACACTTGCTTCAAAATACAGCATTGTGCTTTTTTTTTTTTTCTTTAATTTTTCCCAAGCTCTCCTAATGCCAATCTAATCACCTGTCACTAAACAAAATGGTAAGCTTACAGTCCTGTTTACACATTGCGTTTGTTTTGCTTCACAAATTACACTTATACTCCATGTCGCTTTCCTGGTAGTTCATAACTTCTCCAAATCCTCCTTAGAAGTCTATGGCAAAGCTCGCTAACCGCACCTGCAGCTTTGGAAGGGGCTTTTAATTAGTGTTTGCTTCGCTTTGTTTTGGAGGTATTGCAGGTATGAGATATCCCTGGATGCACTGGGAAACTAATAAGTGATCCTGAAAAAGGTTATCTGCAGTCACTTTCGTTTCATGTGTATATATTGTGGAAGTGTCTGGTGCAGACGAGACATCTGATGTGAAGCGGCAGGAAGGTGAACAGGGTCTGGACAGGAGTGGAGCAACTAGCAGACTGCATATATGGTGTGCAACATGGGAATGCGATAGCGGATGGTGAGCAGTGACCGGAGAGTCGGGACTGAGGGGCAGTGGATCAGTAGAGCTTGGGGGATCAGGGCAGGAGAAGCTAGTAATTGCATTAGAGCAATATAGTGAGAGGTGGGTGGGGACTAAAAAGAGGAGGATCAGCAAACCAGAGGATCAGTAGAGCTGGGGATTACTGCTGAGCAGGGATCAGCAGAGCTGGGGGTTACCACTGAGCAGGGGATCTGCTGTACAAGGGTACCTATGATTTGTTGATCTACTGAACTAGGGTACCAATGTGCTAGGGATCTGCTGAGTGGGTCTTGGGAGTGAGTACTATTGAGCTGGGGTCTTTTAAAACAAATTGAGAATCAACACACAAGGCATTTGCCAAGTTCCAAAAAGGCATCACTGAAGCATCAAAAACACAAAAAAGCATGTTGAAGCGGTAGGCTCTTTAATGTGTATTAAAGTTGAGCCAAGTGTAAATTTAAAAAAAAAAAAAAAAAAAAAAAAAAAACTTTTGCTTTGTGTTTTTTTTTTTTTCTTGTTAAACACAGCAACTCCCCCGTCTTAATTTTTAAGGCCTCATTTACACGGGTGTACCTATCCATACACCCATGCAAAGGGCCTTCTTTGCTGGCACAGGATGCACAGGCATTCTGTGCATTGTGTAAAGGCTGTCCCATTCATGTCTATTGGGATGCAGTGGCTGCACGGACCCACACTTTGTATGAATGTCAGATTAGGACTAGCAGCGAAGCACCTGCAAATTATTTGTCCTATTGGGAAAGAGTAGCAGAGAAGGTAATTTTACCCATTTTGACAAATTGCATTAAATGTTTAAGAACTGTTCTTAGTGCACTGCAATGTTTTTGACTTTCAAACACTGGAATGTCTTGTGAAGTCTTTTTGTGATAATTTTTGACCTTTTAGGAACCTGTCTTTTAACTCCGAGGAGGAAGACCTGGAGGAATTGCTGCTCAGATTTGGAAATATAAAATATGTCCGCATAGTGGTTCATCCTGACACAGAGCACTCCAAAGGTTTGCACACTGTAACTTAAATGTATTCACACTTAGCTGTGATGGGAATAGCCTTGAGTCATGTACCATAGGCTATATCCTGCACAGTGATTCAGGCACTAGTGGCACTAAATGATGTCCTTATTCTCCAAAAATAATCCATACACATCCACTACTTAATGGCCTTGTAATCTGTTTTTCATGAAATTGTTTTACTGTGTGTTTCTGCCTCCTTGTAATATCTTCTGAACTCCTTTTTCCGCCTAACTTCTGTTTGTTTGGAACAAGCAGTGTAAGTTAGATGTGATCATATGAGCTGCTCTATTCACACTACAAATCCTATAGTCCCTAGTTCATCTGGGAAGCAAGCAAAAGAGGGTAGCTATGTTCTTACATACAGAGGGATGATGAAGAAAGAACGTAGCCACCCTCTACACAGGAAGTCACATTACAGCTGCAAAGAAAAAAGGTATATGGCTAGCGAACAAAATATTTAATCCACTCTGAAAATAAGTGTGTGTGTGACACACACACTAGATTGCCAAATGTATTGGGACTCCTGCTTTTACACACACATTTACTTTTAATGGCATCCCAGTCTTAGTCCGTAGGGTTCAATATTGAAGTTTGGCCCACCCTTTGTAGCTATAACAGCTTCATCTCCTCCAGGAAGGCTGTCCACAAGGTCTAGGAGTGTCCTATGTGAATGTTTGATCATTCTTCCAGAAGCACATTTCTGAGGTCAGGCACTGATGTCAGATGAAAGGGCTGGCTCGCAGTCTCAACTTCATCCCAAAGGTGTTCTGTTGGGTTGAGGTCAGGACTCTGTAGGCCACAGTCAAGTTCCTTCACCCCTAGCTCACTCATCCATATCTTTATGGACCTTGCTTTGTGCAGTGGTGCGCAGTCATGTTGGAACAGGAAGGGGCCATCCCAAACTGTTCCCAAAAAGTTGGGAGCATGAAACTGTCCAAAATGTCTTGGTATACTGACGCCTTAAGAGTTCCCTTCTCTGGAACCAAGGAGCCAAGCCCAACCCATGAAAATCAACCCCACACCATAATCCCCCCCCCCCCCCCCCCCCCACCAAACTTTGCACTTGTCAGGAGAACAGTACTTGCCTGACTGTGTTTTGTCAACTGCCAGACACCTCCATCGGATTGCCAGACAGAGAAGCATGATTGGTCACTCCAGAGAAATCAAACTTTATCAACCACTTGCCCTCCAGAGGATTTACCCTCCTTCCTCACAGGCCATTTTTTGCGTTACGGCGCTGCATTACTTTAACTGACAATTGCGCGGTCATGCAATGCTGCACCAAAAAAAAGTCGAAAGCCTTCATGCATATATTTCAGTTTGCAGGGGATGAGACAAACCATTTACCACTGGCAGGGGTGTTTACAATGATCAGCTTTTATTTATGTAAAACCTTTATCCAAAAAAGGAAAAAAAAAACCTGTTGTATCTGATTATAAACTATGAGCTGGAGTTTGGCTTCAGTTTTAGTGTATCTAAATGTGCTAGTACGTTTAACACTTCCCACCCTCCCAGACTGACAATGCTGCTGTCTGTTGTGCTCCTTCATCCACAGAGGGCACTCTAACACAGGAGGTGTGTTACTGGCCAAATCACTGGGTGAAAACGGGGAAAAAAATAGCCTAAAAAAAAAAAAAAAAAAAGAATTGAATGCAGCCTCATCTAAGGATTGGTAAGCTGCAGTATATTCGTTTTTTGGTTTTGGAAAGTATCGGTACGCTCCAATAAAAAAAAAAAAAAAACAGCTATTGGTGCATCCCTAGCATGTAGCTTTGTATTCAGCGAATGCAAAGCTGTCTATGAATGGCTACCCAAATCAGCTTTGTTCTGGGTGTGTAACAGGATGTTTGCATCTTACAGCCGAAATACAGGGCTGTACTGTATGTAGCGGAGATCCAGACAAACTAATTAAACTAACAGTAAAGCTGGAAATCCAACATGGTTTCACAGATCAGCATATGTGAACACATCAGTCCAGGGGACTGATTTTTGGGACACCTCAGTGGATTCTGTCTAGTGAACCAGTCACAGCAGTTCTCTCCTTTTTTAATTTCTTTATACATCCACGACGGCCTTTAACAGCAAATCCTATTGAGAAAAGTACAGCACTAAAGCTTTGTAGTTTATGACAACCTTTTTAGATTTTAAAACTCATCTCCTTTTATTTCATAGGTTGTGCCTTCGTCCAGTTTGTGGATAAAGAAGCCGCAGAGAAATGCCTAGTGGCGGCCAAGGATGAATCGGAGGTATGGCAGCTGTGCACCTACAACTCCCTTGTAATCCGAATCTTACACAACCCATGAAAATTACAGAAAATATAGATGAATGTGTGGACTAAGAAACTAATTTATTCGCCTTCTCCTAAATTTTTGTATTTCAATGGTTTTTATTAATTTTTAAACAGTTTAACACAGGAGCAACAAATCGTTCCCACGCAGGGGCTATCAATTGCACATAAAACATTAGAAAAAGCAGCGCTCTAACACCAACAGAGCAAAAGGTGCGCCCACGCAGGGGCTATCGATGGCACTTAAATGACAAAAACATTAGATTAACACCGATCTCCTACATTTTTAACACACCCTTAAAAGAGAAGTAGACCTGCCCCCCCCCCCCTCCCCATTTATACTTACCTAGGTGGATGCAGCATCCGTTCCCCGCTGGCTCTAAGTGTGAGAACCCATATGATCGCTGAGTTCCCCTCTCCTTTCTGAGAAGGGAGCTGAACTGTCAGCCACCGCTGTCTGCTCACCCCCCCAGAGTGCTGGGCTGTGGAGGGGGAGGCAGCGGCTGGCTCAGGCTCCCTGCGCTTCAGAGGCTGAGCCAGGCACCACTCCAGACTCTGGGGTGGATCATGACTTTGAAGTCGGGATCTTTCCCCAGCCTGGACCAACTGAGTGACGTCAGCCGACAGCGGACTTCAGCCTGCTGTCAGCTGAAAACCGGTCACAGGAGTGCAGAGCGAACTACTACTTCTAGTACTACTACTACTTTTCCTGTACTTCTTTATTAAATGGAAACTGATATTAAATGGCTCTTTGCCATTTTTGCTACTGTTTACAGTGACACCAAATGTCTTTGTGTTATTGCTCAGGATGGAGGTTTGAAGCTTGCTGGGAGGAAGCTGATGGTGGATCTTGCTGTGAGCAGGGAGGAAGCTGGGAAACTACGTCAGAAGGTCAAGAAACCCACAGGGACAAGGAATCTGTATCTGGCAAGAGAAGGATGTGAGTATCCTGTCTGTGTATGAGTAGGTCGTGCACACTTAAGGAAGCCTTTTAGCATATTCTAACAAATGTATTAAATTGAACTTCATAGACTTGAATAACTTTGTACTTATGTAACATTGAATTAAACTCTTTAATAGTGATTCGAGCAGGAACAAATGCTGCTGAGGGACTAAGTGCAGAAGATCTGGCCAAAAGAGCTCGGGTAAGCATGAATAATATGGTAACAGACAATTTAGAATTTTTTTTTTTTTTTTTTAACTTTTAAAGTGGCATCATCTGGCTGCTACAGAGTATGACTGTTTAGGATTGTTTTATACATTTATATATACAGTACCGAAAGGAAAACCATATTTTTTCTTGTTTTGTTTTTATTTATTTTTTTGTCTTAGTTTGAAGAGATAAAACGCCAGAAGTTGAAAAGCCAGAACATTTTTGTCTCAAAGACCCGTCTGTGTGCTCACAACATTCCTAAATCTGTGGATGACAAAAAGTTACGTCAGTTGTGTCTCACTGCCGCAGGTGGAGGTAAATCTGTTAAAATTAAAGAGGTAAGTAAACTGAATCGGGGTAAACTCATTGTTGCACCTATCACCATTTGGACCTTGGAGTGGGGCTTTAAACTTATCATAATTGAGAATATTTATTTTTTTTTTTTTTACCTCTGCAATGCAGTGGAGTTTTATTTATGTGTCTTTAAAAAGCTATTTATTGACCTCCACTAACAGTTGTTAAAACATGATTTATACTGCACACCCTGAGCTCATAAGCAGTGACTACAGCTATGCTTTTTTTAGTGGACATCTCAGACAGTGAAAAACGGTGTAGAAACACTGCAAATATTTACCACTTACCTCTTACCACTGTGCATATAATTTTACTGTCCGAATTATTAGTATTGGATAAAAAAAAGTTCGTGGGTCTCTTTTGAAACCATAAATCCCCCCCCTTTTTTTTTTTTTTTGTTTTGTATGCATTTATTTGTGGCACAGTCATTCTTATAGAAACTGCACCAAAAATGTAGAAAGCTAGACTTTATTGAATACTTGCATATCCTTTTAACCTTTCCTTACATTTTAGTTTTTGAAGAAGCGTTTGTGTAAATTATATTCCTTACATACCATAATTTTCCGTTCCTGGATCCTCCCCATGTCAGCCTACCACTGGTCAGCTCCGCCCTCTCTGACACCTACAGGACAACCTCTTTCCTAGCCCATAAGAGCGCCAATCTCCCTTCACTAAGCGTTCAACATATTTCTCCTCGCGACAGAGATTGGGTGAGAATCCCTGGCTGACGTGGAGAGGATCCAGGAAAGGAAAATTACAGTAAGTAAGGAATACAATTTTCCCTATTCCTGGACTTCCCCATGTCATCCTACCACGGGATGTACCAAGCAATGCCAAAGGGAGGGGAAAAAAACGACACATACTGCTGCATATAAAACCTCTTATTACTGACAGCCGCTGCAATGACTGTAGATCCAAAAAAAGACTGCATGGACAGAAAAGACATATTCATTTTGTGGTGAAAAAGTGCTATAGCTTGCTGCCCTGCAAACCACCTTTGCTGACACTTTAGCCTATGCTGCCCATGAGATTGAGATGCTTCTCGTTGAATTGGCTCTCACTTCCAAAAGTGGCGGCAAGCCCAGGATTTTGTAGGCAATCTCAATGGTCTTGAAAATCCACGAAGACCTGACCTTGGGTAGTACTGTGAAGCCCTTCCTTTAGACCTTGAGGGAAGGTATAAAGGCTATCTTGTTCACGGATGTCCTCCATGCATTTTAGATATACTGAAAGTGAATGAACCAGATCAAACTTCTTCCACTCATCCTCTGACCCATCTTCCAGAAAAGCTGACAGTACGGACTCTCAACTTATATGAAATTAAGTTGAAACTGGAAGAAATTTTGGACCTGTCCCAGAATGACCCTGTCTTGCAGGATCAAGCAGTATGGCTCTCTAGCTACATGTTGGATACTCTCCTTGATGTAGAAATTGTCATCAGGAAATTTTGTCTTCAGAGCCAAATAGAATAAGGAACTATAAGTTATCTGGTAAAATGGTGGTGCCAGCAAGACATTGAAGCCAAGTGACAAGTTCCCGCTAGTGAGCTAATCTTCATTGCTGCCTTCAGAAAATGAATGACCAAATTGTTAAAGGCCCATCTTTTACTTGCCAGGGCTGAGAGGCAGGGTAGATTTGATTTAAATCACTAGTGAAAAGGCTCGAGTTAAATCATAATTTTTAAAGATCAACTATCATCTCTGACCTACTGTTGACTCACCGACAGTCCCATTCACTTTAATGGGGACGGCTGGCGATCTGCCAGTGATACAATAGGGTAAGGGACGTGGCGGCAGCAGGTGAATGGATGCCCGCTAACAGGCGTTGCCATGATGGATCTAAAATGCTCTTTAAATGTTAGGAATCCAACTAGTAATTCTTGCTGCTAGTTAGAATCTTTAATATTTACAAACCAAATGAAGGTTTCCTTTTTAGAATAGTAAGCTGTCAGGTTAGTAAAACAGCGATATCAGAACCGATTTTAGGTTAATCACACATAGCTGGAGAACTACTCATTCTTTTATTTCATGTTTTTTCTCATGATTACTGTGAAATTGTGTGAATGCATCAATGCAGTGCATGTTATCTCAGCTTGCAGAGCTTGGGTTCATTGAATGAGTTTACCAAAAATGTAAATACTGCAGAAAACAGCCTCATGCTACATAACTAAGCTCCATTTCATGCTGATTAAATTATTAATGTATCTTAAACCGATAAATTTGATAAAAATAAAGAAAATCTGATTTTTAGGGAAAAAAAATAAATTTTTTTCCTTCTTTTTTTTTTTTTTTTTTTTTTTTTTATCCACCCTGCTGAGAGGACTGAAACTTGAATTTGCAACTAATTATAAACCAGGCCACTTTTAGACCATTTTGCAGGAATTCAAGAACATGAGATAACGAGAGAGTTGAAGCATGCCAATCTTTGCCAGAAGAGCGCCCCAAAAATGCTTTTCATACCCGATGGAAGGTTGAAATGGCTGACTTTTTCCTAGCTTGCAGCAAGGTGTCGACTAAGCTCTTTGACAGCTCCAGAGGTCTTAGGTCCCTCCCCTCAACTTCCAAGTTTTTGGACTTCCTTCTTGGGGAGAATTATATTGCAGGACCTGCGTTGGTTGAAATTTACTCTTTTTTGATAGTCGATTATACACCCAAAGCACTTGAGCATTTTACAGGTTAGAGACACGTGATCCATTAGAAGACAGGGCCAACAGAAGGATGTCATTAAGGTAATGAAATATCTGGACATCCCTGAGTCTCAGAACAGCTATGATGGCTGACAGTGGCCTTAGTAAAGGTCTATGGGAGTGGTGCCAAGCCTGAATGGCAAAGAACGAACTGGAAAAGTGCCCCTTGTACGGCAAACCTGAGAAAGTGATAATAAGCCAGAACTATGGGGGCATGCAGATAGCTGCCTGCCATATCCACTGATGCCATCCAGTCTGACTCTTACTACTGGAAATGATGGTCTCCAAGGAATCCATCTTGAAAGGAGGGGCCTTCATAGAGGAGTTCAGATATTCCAGGTCTAGAACAGGTCTGAAGTCTCCTGAGGACTTGATTACAAAAACCAGAGAGGAATACATGTCTTCGCCCCATTCTTGTCTTGGTACAGGAAAAATAGCTTAAGCTATTAATAATTCCTTTATACAGTCAGGTCCATAAATATTGGGACATCGACACAATTCTAACATTTTTGGCTCTATACACCACCACAATGGATTTGAAATGAAACGAACAAGATGTGCTTTAACTGCAGACTGTCAGATTTAATTTGAGGGTATTTACATCCAAATCAGGTGAACGGTGTAGGAATTACAACAGTTTGCATATGTGCCTCCCACTTGTTAAGGGACCAAAAGTAATGGGACAGAATAATAATCATAAATCAGACTTTCACTTATTAATACTTGGTTGCAAATCCTTTGCAGTCAATTACAGCCTGAAGTCTGGAATGCATAGACATCACCAGACGCTGGGTTTCATCCCTGGTGATGCTCTGCCAGGCCTCTACTGCAACTGTCTTCAGTTCCTGCTTGTTTTTGGGGCATTTTCCCTTCAGTTTTGTCTTCAGCAAGTGAAATGCATGCTCAATCGGATTCAGGTCAGGTGATTGACTTGGCCATTGCATAACATTCCACTTCTTTCCCTTAAAAAAACTCTTTGGTTGCTTTTGCAGTATGCTTTGGGTCATTGTCCATCTGCACTGTGAAGCGGCGTCCAATGAGTTCTAAAGCATTTGGCTGAATATGAGAAGATAATATTGCCTGAAACACTTCAGAATTCATCCTGCTGCTTTTGTCAGCAGTCACATCATCAATAAATACAAGAGAACCAGTTCCATTGGCAGCCATACATGCTCACGCCATGACACTACCACCACCATGCTTCACTGATGAGGTGGTATGCTTAGGATCATGAGCAGTTCCTTTCCTTCTCCATACTCTTCTCTTCCCATCACTCTGGTACAAGTTGATCTTGGTCTCATCTGTCCATAGGATGTTGTTCCAGAACTGTGAAGGCTTTTTTAGATGTCGTTTGGCATACTCTAATCTGGCCTTCCTGTTTTTGAGGCTCACCAATGGTTTACATCTTGTGGTGAACCCTCTGTATTAGCTCTGGTGAAGTCTTCTCTTGATTGTTGACTTTGACACACATACACCTACCTCCTGGAGAGTGTTCTTGATCTGGCCAACTGTTGTGAAGGGTGTTTTCTTCACCAGGGAAAGAATTCTTCGGTCATCCACCACAGCTGTTTTCCGTGGTCTTCCGGGTCTTTTGGTGTTGCTGAGCTCACCGGTGCATTCCTTCTTTTTAAGAATGTTTCAAACAGTTGTTTTGGCCACGCCTAATGTTTTTGCTATCTCTCTGATGGGTTTGTTTTGTTTTTTCAGCCTAATGATGGCTTGCTTCACTGATAGTGACAGCTCTTTGGATCTCATCTTGAGAGTTGACAGCAACAGATTCCAAATGCAAATAGCACACTTGAAATGAACTCTGGACCTTTTATCTGCTCATTGTAATTGGGATAATGAGGGAATAACACACACCTGGCCATGGAACAGCTGAGAAGCCAATTGTCCCATTACTTTTTGTCCCTTAACAAGTGGGAGGCACAAATGCAAACTGTTGTAATTCCTACACCGTTCACCTGATTTGGATGCAAATACCCTCAAATTAAAGCTGACAGTCTGCAGTTAAAGCACATCTTGTTCGTTTCATTTCAAATCCATTGTGGTGATGTCTAGAGCCAAAAATGTTAGAATTGTGTCGATGTCCTAATATTTATGGACCTGGCTGTATATGCGTGCAAACAATGCAATTTCTCTGAATACATCGGTACCCGAGTTCCCACAAAGTAATACTGAGGGACCTTTTTTGCAAATTCTAACAGATATCCACTTCGGATGATATCCAGAATTCAAGCATCCTCCACTTCTTCCACTCAGGACTCCCTGAATAAAGCCAATTTTGCTCCTACTTGAGAAGGGCTGGGCAACACCTTCCGAAGGCCTTGTCGGGTGACTTAACTGGCTGGCTTGATCTGGACTTTGCTCCCTTGGCAAATGCCGCACTGACATCTTCCAATGTCTGAAAAATGGCCCACCAGACCTGTGCACATTGGCTTCTTTGAAACAAATCTTAACTCTTCTGAAAGAGTGAAAGGACTGGCATCATCTCTTCTCCTGCAGGATAAGACTTGACTTTCCTGATACCTGCTGCATGGTAGCTTTAAAGGTCTTGCTAAAAAGGAGCTTCCCATCAAATGGAATCGAGCAAAGGCTGTGTTTAGAGCTATTGTCAGCAGACCACGGCTTTAGCCATTAGGCTCTTTTGGTGTTACTGTGTGCCATTAACTTTGCTGTCATCTTAACTAGATCCACTGCCGCTTCAGCAATTAAGTCCACAGCTATCCTGAAGAATTGCACTTCTCCTGAACCACAGGACTCTTAAGATCTGTATCAATATTGTGGTCCATCTAATCCCTAAACGACACTGAACCTTCAAGTGGTGGGCCAATCTCTGTAAAGAGGCGTCTACTTTTGGAAATTATATTCCATAATTTGTCATTCCTGTGACAAAACGGGTATAACTTTGAAACTCTTATGGACATTTAATCTTTTGGGTGACAAACTTTTTGCTGTGTCTCTAATGTACAATTTTACTTGCTGTACATCTACAGCTTTGTCACGTGCTCTCTACCTAAGCTAGGATGTGCACACCAATTTGCCCGGCAGTGCCTCAGCTGGACAGCCCCAACAAGCCACTACTTCAGGATGGGTTGGAGAAGAGGCTCTGGAAGAGGTAGTAGACCTTTTCCTGTGCTGCTGATGTGGGGATTTAGTAGCTAGAAAACTTCACAGATGGACTTATTGCACAGGTGGCAATCTCCTTCTACAAACATTTTGTGAAAGAATGGGTCGCTCTCAGGAGCTCAGTGAATTCAAGTGTGATATCGTGATAGGTTGCCACTTGTGCAATAAGTCCGTCCGTGAAATTTCCTTGCGAAGTATTCCGCATTCAACAGTTAGTGGTAATATAACAAAGTGGAAGCAGCTGGGAACTCGCCTACAAAGTGGTAGGCCATGTAAAATGTCAGCTGAAGAGCATAGTGTGCAGAAGTCGCCACCTGTCTGCAGAGTCAATAGCTAAAGACATCCAAACTTCATGTGGCCTTCAGATTAGCACAACAACAGTGTGTAGAGAGCTTCATGGAATAGGTTTCCATGGCTGAGCAGCTGCATCCAAGCCTAACATCACCCAGTGCAATGCAGAGGGTCCGATGCAGTGGTGTAAAGCACAACGCTACTGGACTCTAGATCAGTGGAGACGTGTTGCCTGGTGTGACCATTCACGCTTCTCTGGCAATCCAATGGATGTGTCTGGGTTTGGCGGTTGCCAGGAGAACAGTATTTGCATGACTTCATTGTGCCAAGTGTAAAGTTTGGTGGAGGGGGGATTATGGTGTGGAGTTGTTTTTCAGGAGTTGGACTTGGCCCCTTAGTTCCATTAAAGGGAACTCTTAAAGTGTCAGCATACCAAGACATTTTGCACAAAGCAAGGTCCATAAAGACATGGATGAGCGAGTTTGGGGTGGAGAAACTTGACTGGCCTACACAGTCCTGACCTCAACCCGATAGAACATCTTTTGGATGAATTAGAGCGGAGACTGAGTCAGGTCTTCTCGTCTGACATCAGTGCCTGACCTCACAAATGTGCTTCTAGATGAATGGTCAAACATTCCCGTAGACACACACTCCTAAACCAAAGGGTGGGCCAACTCAATATTGAACCCTACGGACTAAGACTGGGATGTCATTAAAGTTCATGTGCATGTAAAGACAGGCGCCCCAATACGTGTTTGTGTATGTATGTATA